TGTATTGACCACCAAATCCTTTCTGTGGATGGACCAATTGTTAGGGAGGAAAGTCTCGTAGATGTTTAGACGCGAAAAGGGACCTGGGAATCATAGGACTCGACGAGTGCATGAGCAGGCTCGGCGAGTCCAAGGAAATATCCCAATCTTTGAAGATGGACTCGACGAGTTGTTCATACAACTCGGCGAGTCGTAGACCGGACACATTCTTATGAGGGAGATGAGCTCCCCGAGTTCAAGGAGGGACTCGACGAGTCGGATGAAGATGGTCCCGATGTTTTGAATGAAGGAGAACCCGTCGAGTTCTTGCTAGACTCGACGAGTGGAGTCGGGGTTGGATCGGGTTAGTGGAGTATGGACTCGACGAGTTGGCAGACCAACTCGGTGAGTCAGGTCAACTGGGTGTTGACTTTGACCAATGTTGACCTTGCTTGGTTTTAGTATTGACCCTGGTTAGGGTTGTTTGTTTTGTTTGATGACTTGAGGGTTGTCGTGTAGGGATTAAGGGGTCGAGGAGAGCCGACCTTCACGCCAAGGACAGTTCAGACACTACACGACATCGAGGTGAGTTACCTTCAAGTAGAAGTGGGTATAAGGTACCAAGGTCGGCCCACTAGTGAATGATAGTTGGGACGATTATCTCTGTGATAATTGTCTGGTCTGTTATTGTTGGATATGTGAGTATGCTAGTTTGTTAGATATGTGAGTATGCTAGTTTGCTAGTTACTATGTTATGTGAGATAGTATAAGTAGAAGGGGACTAGTCCCCGATTCGGTCGCTAGGACCAATGGGTAGGTCGGACACCCCAGATATGTCTGACAGCATGATTATGATATGATATTATGTGTTAGTAGTAGGGGGTGAAATAGTCCCCGAGTTCGGTTGAGATAGACCGGAGGGTAGGTCAACACCTTATCTCAGCCTCCATCGCCCTTATCACTCCCAGAAAGCTGTGTAACGAAACTCTAGCCGTTTTTGTGTGTTCTAAGGCCATTTTGGTGCTTTTTGGTGGGTTGTGGCGGTAGGCCAACAAACCCTGGGTATGCCAACCCGATGAATGATTGGACCTGTTGCAGGCTTTCAAGTCCAAGGACTGATTGGGCTTGGGCATTCCAACCGAGAGGTTGTAGGCCGTTATGAATGCTTGTATGTTTATCGTACGAAGTATTTTGGAGGAAACTCAATAAGCTTTATGCTTAAACAATTGTTTATTGTTCCAGGCATCATCGGTGGCTTTGGGAAGGCAAAGGCGGGACTATACACACTCATCATCGGTGGCTATGGGAAGGCGAAGGCGGAACTATACACACTCATTAGCAGCATTGAGCATTTCACGTTCATTATAATACTCTGATTTTTTATAATTGTGATTGGGAACATATGGTTTTCTTAAAATGGTTTTATAATTGGAAATTTTTACTTTAAATAAAATGAAAAAATTTTAATCGTGAAAATGGGACGTTACATTATTGCAAGGCGTCTTAAATAAATCATGGAAAAAGTGACAAGTCCCAAGCAATCGACTTATGTAGAAGATAAGAGTAATATTGGTGGTCCGCTTCTTCTTAATGAGATTTTCTCATGGGCTAAGAAGGTGAAGAAAAACGTTTTGATCTTCAAGGTGAACTATGACAAATTATTTAACTCTTTAAGCTGGAGATTTTAGACTCGGTTATGGAGAAAATGGAGTTTGGATGGAAATAAAGAAGATGAACTAGGGGTTGTCTTTCTTCTAGTTGTGCGTCCATTTCACTTAATGGAACCCCTTATACATAGTTTGCCATTTTTAGAGGGGTTAGACAAGGTGATCCTTTGTCCCCATTTCTTTTCATTCTTGTTGCGGGTGGACTTCACATTGCTATGGAAATGGCTTGTGAACTTCATTATTTTTGTGGTATTTCACTTCCAAATAACGATCCATATTTATCACATCTAATGTATGACGTTACGTTCATGGAGGAATGGTTGGAAGTAAACTTTGTTAACATCAACCGGCTTCTTAGATCTTTCTTTCTTACTTCTGGTTTGAAGGTTAACCTTTACAAAAGCAAATTATATTGTGTTGGAGTGAGCAACTTGGAGGTTGCTAGACTTGCGAGCATCTTTAAATGTGAACTTGCTTCATTTCCCTTCACAGATCTTGGTCGTCCGATTTGAGTCAATATGAAGCTTGCGAGAAATTGGACGACTATTGTTGGTAAATTTCTAAGAAATGTTGACTAATTAGAAGTCTAAAAATCTTTCTTTTGGTGAGCGCCTTATATATGTCAATTCGGTTTTAAATAATCTTGCTCTTTATTATTTTTCACTTTTTAGAGCTCCGAAAAAAATTATTCATCTTTGAGATTGTCTTAGAATAAGGTTTCTATAGGGAGTGGATGAGGAAAAGAAGAAAATTTGTTGAATTTCTTGGGACACGGTCAATATGCCTAAGGAAAAAGGTAGTATCACGGTTGGTTGCTTAGAAACCTTAAACTTGGCACTTATTGCTAAGTGATGGTGGAGATTAAAAGTTTAACATGATTCTCTTCGGTCTTCTTGTATAAAAGTTATTCATAATCTTAGTCTTACGGATGGAAAACTAACTGCGAAGAAATCAATTAAAGGTGTTTGGTTAAATATTTCTTAACTTGGTGTGAATTTTGAAGATCGTGGAATTTCACTTAATAATCTCTTTTGTAGAGTGGTTAACAATGAAAGATTTGTTTCCGAATCTTTATGCGATTGATCGTAATAAAAGTTGTTTGATCACGAACAAGATCATAACAGGACTGATAAGACTTTGGAGTTTTCGTGGGATTGGGCAAGGCCTTTTCGAAGAAGCAAAGAGGTATCTCAATTTTCGGATATGTCCTATCTGATTGTTGATTTTCAATTCTCAAGGGTGAATGACAATTGGAAGTAGATTGTTAATGGTGTTGTCCGGTTCTCGCTAAGCACTTTGAGGCATCTTCTAGTGGATATATTTCATGTTGAAAGATTGGATTCTTTTAAGCGGGTTTGTTGGGTTCCTCAAAAATAATTATTTTTTGTGGCTTTTTTTCAATAATCGAATTCTAATACTTTCCAATCTTTCTCAAGAGGAATTACACCTTGTGTCCATCCTGTTGGATGATCGAGGAGGGCATCAATCATGTGTTTATTGAAAGTCATTTCACTACTAAGGTTTGGAGATGGCTCGGTTCGTGGTGTACTTTCTATAGGACTGGGCCGACTTTATCTCTATAGTTATAGAAAATAGATACCAAAAGCAAAAAAATAAATTGAGACTGACTTTGGTGTATTCGACTCTTTGGATGTTATAGAAGGCGTGACATTCAATTGTTTTCAAGAATGAAAGGTGGTCTGATATGCATGAAAGGTGGTCTCATACGACGGATGATATATTTACTTGCACTTATGATTGGATTAAACATAGGGGTAATTTTTAGTCTTTAGATTTGTTTAGTTGGTGCACTTCTACTATTTGCAACTGTTTCATGTAATTTTGTCTAACTCCTGGCTAAAGTCTTTGCTTAATAAATGTCTTGCCGTTGAAAAAAAAATCCTTATGTTTCCCAACGCTTTATACATTCTTGTTACATCAAAGTACAATTCATAACCACATTCTTCCACATAAAAGCATACCTTAACTATGCTAATATTTACATATACTTCATCAATTTTCTTAATTCTTACGCCCCGCTCCCGAGTTCAACTTAAGGAGAGAAAAGAAAGGAAATGGAAGGAAGTGAGAGGAAAGTAAGAGAGATTGGTGTTCCCGAGTTTCATTAAAGGAAGGAAGTGAAAGGAAATGGAAGGATCAATTTCCCTCCTAACTTTCTTCCCGATTTGGGAGGATTTGGAAAGAAAGAACAAAATGTTTAACTTTCCTTTCATTTCTCTCCAACTCGGGAGCACAAAAGAGAAATTTCTTTTCCTTTCTTTTCTCTTATTTTCTCTCGTTACTTTCTTTTCTCTTCTCTTCTTTTCTTTGCTACAACTCGGGAGCGGGGCGTTAGGGTTCAAAATCGATGTTACAAAAGCTCTACCAAGCAATAAAGCATGTAAACCAATGTTCTAAATAACGTAAGTCGTGACTTGGCGGCAATGTCAAACCTCAAGCTTTTCCGAGCCTTGACGAGCCACGTCGTTTGTAAGGCGTGACTTAAGGCGGCAATTTTGTATGTAATTAATATTTTATATGTATTTTCAACTATTATTCAATTTTATACATATATATGAGTTAAGACGTCGTTTTGGTAAAGCTTGGCGGCATGCTCAAGCCTTTAGAGCCATGACGCACCATGGCGGAGCCATGACGAGCTTTTTAGAACTTTATGTAAACTTATCATTCGAATTTATATTTTCCCATCGTGATTGGGAACCGAAAGTCCGAAAGTCCCTTTCTTCAATTTGGCCCCTCCTAAAATTACAACTTTGCCCTTACATTACTTTAACCTTTGAGGTGCCGGTACTTGTTTAATGATGTGAATGTGAATACCACCCACTACGCTAATTCCACATAGATTATAAAAGTCATAACTACTATTTTTCTTTTACATTTGTACAAATTGATTATGTTTTAGACTTTTATCTATAGACTATAGGAACGTAATTTTACTCTTAAATCATTGAATAATTAATAATATTTTATTATTTTGAATTTTGGTGCTTTAAAACATATGTGTATCAATAGTAATAAAAATATCAAGAGCCATATTGTCGGATAGTTTCATAACTTTATATTATAATATGAGTGTAATACCAAAAATACCCCCTATGAATTTTCTTGATGATTTGGAGTTATTGCAAGAATATGTGTAGAACACAAGCTCTCACTCAAGTCCCCTCATCTTGGATTCTTGTCATCTCCTTTTCAACCAACCATTCATCAAAACACCTTATCCACATATCTTTCTTTTCTTTCCCTTTTCTCCCTTCACCCACTCATCATCTCTAGATTTCAATTAACTTCCCAAATCCACCAGAATTGTTAACCCAATCTCTCCACTTCCCAATGGCATCCGCCTCAGCCTCCGCCACTCTATCTCCGGTCAACTTGACGGTGGTTGCTCCCACCCGCTCTTCCGGGAGAACCACCTCAACCAAAGTCACTTACATCAAGGGACTCAACTCATTCGGTGGCCTTAAAGCTCAGAACACCGTCGCTGCATTAGGACTCCCCGTTTCTACCGAACAGCAATTCGCAAACTTTGTTTACTCAATGAAGAAGCCATCATCCAAGAATATCGCCGGCGGTGGTGGAGCACTCAGCTCCACCTGCAATGCTGCCGCTGAGATTTTCCAGATAGCAGCAATTATGAATGGACTTACTCTTGTTGGAGTTGCAGTTGGTTTTGTTCTTCTCCGAATCGAAGCAGCTGTTGAAGAGGCAGAGTAAGAAATCTTGGGATTTCTGCACTTTTTTCCTAAAATTGTATCTTTGTTTCATTGTTCATTCATGTAGAATCACTCATAAACATGTATGGAGCACAAGTTATATAATACCATATATCATTTATGCTTTCTTATATGTGTAACAAAATTCAACCATAACTAATCAACTATAATGATCAAGAACACAAGAATCATACATTATATTATAAAGTCTGATCATTTCATTAGTAGTATCAATGAGTTTTGCCAATTTAGACATGTATTTAGTTCTTGAATCCGACAACTGAGAGAGGGACCTCAGCAACTCTGCTATGAAGTCTTTCATACTGAATCGACTGACCCCTATTAGCAATCTTTTTTGGAAAAAATAAACATACACATCCCACAAAGATCAAAACCCCAGCAAGTATCCAACTAAACTGCAAATTAGCAAGTGCTCTAGCTCTTAAAAACGCGTCATGGGTCCCACACACGACTGCACCATGCATGTCGCTGTCACCACCATGGCCCAACCTTATGGTGCACCCTTTGGGCGCAAACTCAGGAACCCATAACATGAATCCCATGTTAATGAACCAAAACCCCTGAAATGCAACAGATATAGAAAGAACTAGGGACGAAGGAAAGCTTGATCGGAAAGTGGTGACAGATAAAGATGATAGAAGAGAGATAAACACTATAAGTTGCATTAACCAATGGTAATGTCCCTCAAGTCCAACATGATCGGTTGAGTGATAATAGAGTAAGAAAAGTTCTTGACCAAAAACAGAAGTAGCTAGGATTCCGGACACCTCGAATAGGGTGTCGGATTTGTTATTGAGCTCGCTAAAAAGGGTAAAACAGGAATATATGAGAAGATGGAGGAACCTGGTGGCATGCTCGAAGTTGTTGAACTTGAAAGTGAATGAGAACAAAGGGTAGTCTAAAACTTGCATGATTATGGAAAATAAGGAGAAAAAGATAATAAGAATGAGCTCCATGTATGCTAGCTTTGAGACAGAGCTCCAAAAGGGGTGCCAAAAGCTTGATCTGAAGTGGGTTGGGTCTTTAAGGTGGAAGGATTTGATTGTATTGATGATGTGCCATAAGCCAAGGAGTGCAAGGGCTGAGCCCGGGACTAGATGTCCAGCAAGTGTTCCCATGGATTCTGCTTTTCGTTATAGATGGGGTCGTTCTTGTTTGAGCATAATATATGAAGATGATTTCAGAAGATACAATATATCATGCAAAAAAAGAAAAAGAAAAAAAGGTAGATTACAATAATCGAAGTAGTAGTGCATGCCTGCATGGTGCATGATAATAGGTGAATGTTGCATGTGTTTTCCACAAACAAGTAAATCAGAAAAAGACAGCCATTAGACTTGAGTAAAAGCACGATAGAAAAAAATGCCTAATCTGATACTCAAAGGGCAAGAACGTGATCGAAAGGAAAACAGAAAATAGCAAACAAAGGTTGCGGTAGAAACAAGACAATCCTACTGTCCATTAAATTTAAGTGACCAGGACAATAATTATTAGTATTAAAATTTAAAAAGATTATGAGGGAGAAGATTCGGACGGAATATATGAAAGATCCCTTTCAATGTTTTATTTTAAAAGAAGAAAGAAGATAAGTGGAAACGCCAACTATAGACGATTGATCAAAAAACATTTGATGAATCCCGACTTTAATGAGCTAAGTTACTTGCAAGTAAAGTATTTATCGGATGTTAAAAGCAAATTAATGGGTTTCCAAAAGCATGCAAATGTCTTGAGCATAAACGAAAGCAAAAGTTATGTTCAGAAAAAGATGTACGATAGTGTTTTCTCAACTCAATCCAGATAATGCGGAAATTTTTCATGAGAATTTATGGTAAGGTATGAGTAATCATCAAACATATACAATCATCTCTCAGTAACAAATTAGGGTTGGTGTTGTTTCTTTAATCAACATGTCCACCTTAATTCGTAACAAATTTGTTTTGCTTATAAAGTTCCTGAACTTAGGTTTTCTAGTAAATTACAAAGTTTGGTTTTTGTGATAATTCAAAAAGTTATGGAATCAAATACTAATCTAGAATTTAAAATCATGTGTGTCCAACTTAATTAATATGATAAAATTAACCCGTTTAAAAAGTTCAATTATTGGATCGGATTATCAATAATATTATTTATGCCGACTATGTATAGTATTAAACTTGATACCAAAGATTAATGATAGGTACATTTTATACACCTATTTTGCATGTTTAATTCCATCATTTCTTTGCATTTTACTTCTTAATTCTTGCATTTAGTTAACAATTTGGGCACTTCATGTTTTATTCAGAATGTCCGGTACTTCACCAGTTTTGAATTATTTTGTAGCCATTGCGGGTATGCAAAGCATGGAGTTTGGAGCATGGAGAGAAGATGAACCGGAGGATTTGGGGAAGAACACCTGAGACATAACCAAAGTCGTTGCACATCATCATAGCAAGGATTACGTTTAAAGTGTGGTCCGTGTTACAACAACATGGGTCGTGTTTGTCCTTTTCATCATATATTTGAGTAACACGACTTGGGTTGAAGTTAGAACGAAGACAAAGTCATGATTGAAGGTCAATTGAAGTTTCAACAAAACGCATGGTCGTGAGCCAAAAAGCACGGTTTGTGCCAAAACACGCGACCAAAACGTACGGTCATGCTTTTCCGGAGATGGTTACCACTTGTGTTAAAATAGAGGAAATTTGCTCATTTTTTACATAAACAATTTCTAGAGCACTTGGGGGTGATTTTGGCAGAATTTTTGGAGAATTTTAAAGGCTTCTGATCATTGCAAACACTACTAATTTCAATTTGTAAGCATTAAATATTTTCAATTTCATCTCTTTGTTTGATTTGTTTTTAGCCATGTGTGGCTAAAAATCTTAGTTTCTAGTTCTTGTTCAAAAATGTTGATTGTTCGACTTGAAGCAATGGCTTGATGTTTGGTTTATGATTCTATTTTAGTGACTATTTTCTTGTTTAAACTAGAATCATTGAATTTGATTTATGTTTTATTGGCCATTTATAGGAATTGAATTCTTGTGTAGTTAACTGACTTTGTATGGCACCTAATCGCCTTGTAAAGTTAATGATAGGTAACAATCAGTAGGTTTTCTTATTCTAGAACATATGTAACATCCAAATTCGTTGAGGTACTTTATTAAATTTAATTTCCGGGTTTTGAGTTGCCACGATGTGGTGGAGGCACCGCCACGACGTGGCATGTCTAGAATATTCGCGGACCTTAATTTAGTCCCCATGGCGTGCATATGTTGGCCACGACGTGGCGACCATCTGATTAGGAAAACCCTAATTTTCGAGTATTTAAAGGAAATTGTGGGCTAGGTTTTGCTCACCCTCAGCCTCCATCACTCTGAGACCTCTGAAAACCTAATCATAGCTTCTCTTGGTGACTCTTGGTCCATTTTAGTGCTCTTGGTGGTTTGAAGAAGAAGAAGTAGAAGAAGGTGCTCTAGTGTGTGGATTCAGCTACCAAGCCTCATCATTATTCTTTTGTGCATTCCCTGGACCGTTGTAAGTGTCCAAGATCCTAGCTTTATGTTTCTTGCTCTTAGATCTAATCCTTTTGTCCTTTGATCTTCATGTGGTAAAAGTTTAGAAGGATGGATTCCATAAAGTTGGCACTTTATGGATCCTTATGGTCCCTTGAGGATTGTATGGTTGAGATCTGAAGTTTCTTGTCTTATTGTGATTCATGCACAAAGTTGGGATCATTTTCTCATGAATATGACCTAATTTGGGAAGGACATGCATTGGACATGCATGCCCATAAAGCCACGATTTTTATGGTCCACTAGGTGTAGAAAACCCTTCTGGAACTTGGGAGAAGTGACCTTGGTTGATTAACTGCTTAATGGATGAGTGCATGTTTTAGGTTGTCATAAAGGACTTAGGGTTTTGAGATCTTAATGTTGGATTAGTGTCTAAGCCCGTAACTATATTTGGTAAGTACTTGACCCGGTTGTGCATGGTCCTTTTGGGTTGCCTTCACACGGGTGACTAGACAGGATGACAGTTGAGGAGAGAGGTTGATTAGAGCATAAATATGATTTATTTATTATATTATATGATTAATATAATAATTTGGAATCATATTATTAATTAGTATTTAATCAGAAATTAATTTAGAATTAATTTTGGGATTAAAGGAACTGATTAAAAGTACAGGGACTATTTTGTAATTATTCGATAGTTGAGGCTTTGGGCCATTGGATCACCTTTATTAAGGCTTGGCCGAAAATTCTAGAAGGATCTAGGAGTTTTCGTCCAAGGGCTTAACGAAAGGAGTCCATGGATTTGCTTAGGCCCTAAGCTAAGGGATTAGGGTTTCCACCTTGAAACCCTAGTTAGCCTTAAGTATAAATAGCACCCTAAGGCACCAAATTCAGCCAACCCTTGGAGAAACCCTACTAGGGTCGAATTTTGGAGCCTCTTGACTCCTTTCCTCTCTCTCATATTCATCCTCTCACCCAAAGTGTGTTTGTGAGCCATTAGAGGTACTACACTTGTGGTACTTGCTTTCAAGAGCTAAGGAAATTCAAGGAACTAGTTGTTATTGCTATATAACAACAAAAGGTATGTATTTTATTCTCCTTTGTGGATTTTGAAAATCATAGGAGTATTACAGGTTTCTTTTTATGTTCATGAAGTTGTATGTCTAATAGTGAAAACATAGATCCAATTAGGGTTGCATGCACACATAGGATTGTTTGTATAAAACCTATCAGTGGTATCAGAGACTTAGGTTTTTGTTTTCAATTAGATTTGATACAAATGTATGAATATGACAATTAGGGTTTATGGCTAATAAACCCTGGAGGCTTGATTTTCGAAATTAGGGTTTCTAAACCCTAGATTTCGAAATTTTGGTAGGGTTTCCTAAACCCTTTCCTTTGGCCCCAAGATTTCGATTTTAGGGTTGTCTAACCCTAGAATTTCGAAATTTGCCTTTTCCCCTAGATAGGATTCCCAAATTTTAGGGATTTTGATAATGCCATATCTTGTAATTATCCTTGATTCCTTGAATAGATAATTAAAGATCTCATGGATTATCTCATTCCATAAATTTTCAAATCTTAGGGGATATGGATTAGATTAAATTAATTGTCTAATTTAATAGATAATCCTACAAGATTTAATAATTTTAAATTAATTGTTTAATTTTGGATAATTATTAAATCAATATTTTTAATATTTAAGAGTTTAAATTAAAAGGTTTTAATTTTCTAAAAAGTTAAATATGACTAAAACCCTAGTATTTTGAAATGTTAAAATACATCCTTATACTATTATAATATTATAAGATTAATGATTATATATATTGTATAAGATTAAGTCAGTCTTACCGTTAGTAGGCCTCATTCACGAAGCTGGTCTATAAGGGGTGTTTAAGAAATTGCCTATAAATGGCGATTGAATGGGTATCCACTCTTACCCACCGCACTCTTGACTAGTGGAGGGTCGTTAGCCGAACGAGTAGGATAGGACGAAACCTTGCATTATAAGTATAATGAAGTACAAAGTAACTACATGCTTTTACAAATACCCAAATTCTAGTTACTTTAGGCAAAATGTGAAATTGTATGCTAATCCATGGAATTACACTTCGTACCCTTGTCAAACGTTAGTGGAGCGTGTGTGGTTAACCGACACACTAATTTGGGGTTGACATTGGTAGCGAAGGGTGGCTCGATGTTTATCATAGATCAATGGAGCGTGTGTGGCTAACCGGCACATTGATTAGGTGATAGTAGCATTGAGTGCACCACGTAGATTCGTATGGTTATTCACACCTTGTTTGTGATCCTCGGCATCCCAGTCACAAACCTGAAGGGCATAATCGAGATTTAAACATGCCATTGAAAAGTTCAATGAATCTCAAAAGATCTAGGAGTTTCAATTCATTTAAAACTTAAATTTCTTTTTCGTTTTTCATGGTGGAAATTGGTAAATCGTCATTTACCTACCTTCAAATATTCTGCAACTAGATTACGGCATCCCTCTTCTAGGTTGTAGAGTATTGTGTTGGATCCTAGCCTTGATGTTTCATTTGGGTGTTACATCAAGGATTCTAATCAACTTAACTTGAATTTTCTCCCGTTTTGTAGATGTCTAT